CATTATAACAAAATTGTGGGAAAAATGGTATGCTAACAAGTAAAAATTCTCCAGTGTTAGTAAGTCTGGTGTGGTGGCTGCGGAGGAGTCTTGATGCAGAAGGCATAAAGATAAAGATATGGGTGGATTTGTTGGTTATTCTTTTCATTAGTATACCTTGTGCATGGGTGGGAGTGTTGCGAACGGATAATGTTGATGTTTCTGATGGTGAAGCGGAGTGGGTGAGTTGGTGTATTGTAAGTGGTTGATTAGCATTATGAAATTGTTGTTGGCGCTGAAAAAAAATCTAAATCGTGCGCTAGTTGATCATCTGTCATTGGGCTTGGAGTGTCAGGAAGAGTGCTAGAAAGGGGTGAAAGAATCGGGGAAGCGTCGGTATATGAAAATTCTACTCGAAAATGCGGAAAAAGCTGCTGCTCATATGGAAATTCCATAAAATAACCTGTTGAATTCGTATGGTTGATTTCCGATTACAAACTGTGTTAAGCAGGGCGATTGTTCATCTAGGTGGACATTAGATTATAAGCGCTGTTCATGTCATCTGTTGTGTAGTATTGTCCGTTGATTTTTATGAGAATTACTTGTATTGGTTCTATTTAATTTTAAATCATCTATGAGTGAGTTTCAGTAGCTTGCGTCGAGTATCTTTTTTAAAGTTTCTCCTGTTGCTAATAAGTTAACTGGGTTTTTAAATGTGTTTCCCTTTCGTGTTGTTTTTATATTTAAAGGGGGATAATTTCAAATTTCTCAAGTATTCCTATGAGTCTATTTACTATTTACTGTGTATGGGTAATTCACTTGTGTTTGTTTTTTAAATACTGCGTCTGAATTTAGTTGAAGATGTAATGGCAATTGAATTTTTCGAACAACAAACTTTGATGTGGCATATCCATTTGGTATAATTAATAAGAAGTGTGCTAATTGTTCAAACTTTCTTGATTGATTTGAGAATGTTGAAATTAAACTTAGCGAAAAAATTCTGCTATGTCGGGTATTTAATAAAATTTGTAATTTGGTTTCAACTAATTTCATGTTGCATCGACTAATTTCATGTAAATATTATGGTATTGGTATTTCATTTCTCATTGTCTCTGGTTGCCAACATTGAGAAGACATGGGTATTGTGTTTTTATATTATAATTTGGTGGTAAAGAATTTGTGATTGATTTTTTGTGGGTCAAAAATCAATCACAAGCATGGTTCAAAAACATCTGGTTAAAAATATCATCTGGTTCATCAATATTATTCCATTGGTATTTTCGTTGATTAGAATTATGTTGTTGTTGTTACAGTTTTTTTCTTTGGAAATAACCTTCATCTTCGAAGAAATGGGGTTGATTTCCTTTAGTGAATTGTCTATTGGATGGATAAAATTTTTCTGTTGGGTAGTTGTCAGTGTGATCTATTTGAGTGTTCCGTTTGTCATGGAAGCTAACTGATAGTGAATTTAAAAATTTTGTGGGGTTGTTGATTATAGTTCTGTTCCAGAGATTGTGATTGCTTTGTTCGAACTGAGTGTGCTATGTGATGACGGATATTTTTGTTTGCAAAAAAAATATAAATATGGTTCGCAAAACAGTTTCCATTTTTGATTTTTATTCCACCGAAGGAGTGTTTTTTAGTATTTGGTCTGTGTGTCTGATAATCCGTTTGTAAGTATTTAGGTAAAACAGTTGGTTTAATTGTTGATTGCAATGTTGTTTGTGGGAACGGGATGCAATTCTTATTTTGTAATGTTGTGATTGCTGGGTGAATAGGTGAGATCTTTTAATGTGTTGTTACTGGTAGTGTTGTAACTATTCCTTCATGAGTAAAATGCGATGGGGTTTGAAAATCTCGGTTTAGCGTTGTTGTTGTTGTTCCATTCGGGTTTCTCGTTTATTCATGAAAGTTGTGTTTATACTAATGATAGCTGTTCTATAGTAAAATAGTGTATTGTAGTTTGATGGTGTTGTGTCAGTTGATAAAGAGATTACCCTGAAATAAACCTTGTTTAGCGAAATTTTTTGAACAGTTCTGAGCTTAGTTCTATATTATTCTACAACATCATTTGGTAAAATAATAATCAAATCATGGTACCATTCAGGGTCCCAGAGAGTCTGTTTAATCTGCGAAAATCTTCGACGGTGAGTAGGAAACTCTTTTCTAGATTGTTCAATATTATTATTTGAGAAACTTCAATATCAGAGAGTTTTTCGCGAATGGCATTTAAAAATTTTGAGAATATGTTTGTTTTGAAAATTATTGTGGTGGGTATACAAAAATGTTTCATCTGTATCTATAAAGCAGACATAACTATAAATGATTGGGAAATCATAATTTGTAAATATTGAGTCTACTCGTTGTGAGTTTTGATGGTGTAAATTTTTGAAATATTCGTCAAAACTTTTGAGACACTTGAGTTCTATATTATCTGTTTGTATTCTGTGTGACGGTGTTTTATTATTTAAATCTGGTGATAGAATTTCATTGGTGAATATACCATATTGTGAGGTGATATTACACATGCTTGGTAGATAAGGTCTAGTATTGGCCTTTTTAATTTAACTTCTGGAAATTCTTGTCGGCATGGTATATTGCCTTTTCGAAATAAGCTTATAATGAGGTTATTACAAAATTGTGCCACTCCGGGTGATGGGTCACTGTCGGGATGTATGACAAACAGTAGGATAGAGTCATCCTCGAAATTTTCGCGAATTGAACCAATTTTCATGGTATATCACTGCTAATGTGAATCCAAGTGTATGTTTGTACTGGTTTTCTGTTATAATTCTTTTTTATTGTGCTTAATTTTATTGATGACGCTGTTAGTGCTTCTGAATCAGAAAAAAAACCAGTGTTCAATTAATTGTTTGTTTTGATTGCTTATTTGATCTTGGAGCTTTTCGAGATTTTGTATAAATGTAATATCATATTCTGAAATTGCGTTTCGTTTTCTAGAAAAAAAGATGTTTTTTTTTGTTTGGAAATAATAGTTTTTGTTTGGAAATAATTCTTATGATGGTTTTTTCGATCTGATATAGCCTATTTTTTGTTTGCGTGGTGTCATGACAAGATCGTTTCTGGGTCGGGTCTCGAAATAAACAATTGTCTAGACCTACTGTTAGTTTGTTGGCTTAACTATCTTTTGACATAAGTGTTAGAATGTTTGATGCGAAATCCAGGTGTTAACTGCCTATTTCCTTTTTTGTTAGTTCTTACTTTTTTTGTGAGGTTATCCTCTACCCTCTGGTCGTTTTTTCGTGGCAAGACAGGTTGGGGAGAGAGTACATGAAAAAGGATGATTCACTGCTTTCAAACGAATGCGGTGTTTTCTACAGTTAAGTAGTCTTAACCTTACTTAAATGGGGTTCGATCTGAGATCGAGTGTTGGAGAACACTAAATCAATTGACAATGTTCAGGTATAATTAGAACACACGTAGATCGCTAGAAAATATTTTGGAGCTTACTGTATCTTAAAGTTTTCATAAGCCTGGGTCAAATAGGAGGTGAGGTTCAAATGAAGGATGAATAACCGAAGTTCTTCCTTGCTGAGCTTCAAATAAATAGTGAGTTTTTGCAAAAAATCTTCAATTAGTCCTGGGTCGTTTAGAAAGTTTGGAGAGTGAATCGACATTTTAGGTCGTTAGACACTTATACTAAAGGATGACGTTGAATTTCATGAGTTAACAGATCCGAGGGAAGCCTTGATGATCTAGATTTAAGAAAGAATTAAGTTAAAAAGATTTCAGTTATAGATTTTAGATTATAGATCCAAGGAGAAGCCTTGCCGATCTAGTTTTTGATTTGAAAAATAAAGTTTAAGTTTTAAAGTGAAGGAGAGACCTTGGTGATTTCAATTGATATAAAATTTTAAATAATTAAGAATTAAAGAGAGATCTTGATGCTCTTGATTTTGATCATGTTAGTAGTTACATTTATGATTGTTTTAGGTAACGAAATACAAGAAACGATGATGATCCTCGAGAAGCAAGGAAGTATCACCTAACTCAAATCAAATAATTTTTATACTATTTTTTTGTATTTTTGTAGTTTTTCATGAATTCATGAATTTTAAATGAAATTTTTCAAAAAATTCAGTAAAGACTTCAAGTTTTAAAGTATATCGAGTTTCTTTGTCGACGTCTTGTTGTTTAAAAACAGTATTAGTTATTGCAAGTTATTCAACATATCGCTTATTAAATCAAATTTACGGCACCATTTAATGCAGTTCGTATAATAGTTAAAAAGATTTTAGTGCACATTTAATCTTCAAATTTTGTCGTCGTCGTCGTCTGCTTTTTCGCTTTGCGATGCACGTTTTTGTTTTGTCGTCTTTTGTTGTGATTCAGTTAGGTCTTCAGTATCAGCTCGGCTTGATTAGACTTATTGGGAACTGGGAAATAAGCTAATTCTATTATCGATTCGTTTTGACTTGTTTTTTTTTCTATAACTAAGTTAGTATTATATCTGCTCGAGACTTGTTGGTCAAACCATATGAATTTAGGTCCGGGTGGCTTTCTCATAGAGTAATTTCGGATACGGTACACCATCTGTTCGTCACGCTGTCCGTTTTTCGGCCGGAAAGATTCGTGCAACTTCTTAGTCTAATACCAATCCTAATCTTACTCTTATATTTCCTAGTCTCAGTAGATCTTGGATAAACTCGTATTATTGCGAGGTTAGAGGAGAGAAAGAGGCAGTTGATTTCTAATATATATCATACTTTCTCTGGCTGAAGCTATGAATAGTTTCAGCTTTACAATTTAACATGAGTTTTAGTAATGGATCATGATTGGTTAGTTGTAAATATTTTACAATGATAAATCTGAAGGTATAAAATAAATACTTTAAATACTCGTTTTGGACTAGTTCAACTACGCTCGCTAAATTTCAATTGTGTATATTGATAATGATTATTTAATTATCAAGTAGAAAAGCCTAAACTAGTATCAGAAGCGTTCTGGAGAAAAAATAGACCCGTAAAGACCTGAAAGAGAAAGGAACAAGAAAGAATCACCTGAGCATAATACTCCTGTTCTATCTTCATCCCTTGCTCTATGGGGCCTTGGGCTGACTGGTTGATTGCACGCTTGGCCATCCGCAGTGCAACAGGTCCCCTCAGCCCCATCTGCTGAGAGAGGGAAAGTGCAGTGGCATCTACTTGGTCACTGTCAACCACGTAATCCACCAGACCCATCTCCTTAGCCTCCGTTGCAGTTACAATTCGTCCAGTGAATATGAGCTCCTTAGCCTATCAGTGAACAAAAACGAACAAAGCAGTCACCAAACTGTCGTCTGTGAACTGTTGTATTTTTCTTCTGATTCAAACAGGAAGTTAAACTTCTAACGCATAAGCGAAGCAACATCAAGCGAAAAAAGGCCAAAAGGGAGCAGATGATGCAGGAAAAGAGAGCATATGTTGCAGCCCAAGGCAACAGACAAAAAGCCTCTTGAAATAAGCCTTTTAACAATAACATGACTGTACCACGAGCCTCTTTGTACCGATAGCTAGTGATATACATAAATACTCACCAATAAAGCGTTTAAAACCCATGCTATTGCACTGTCAATGCTTAAAGGCTATGCAGCAAAATGCCATCAATTATGAGAACTATATTCAGCGAGAAGCGTTCGATAGTGGACTCGTAATTAAATAAACCTTTGCTGGTGTAAAAGAGCGAGACAATTCAGCACGACATCTCATCAATCACGGACGGCATGTATTGAAAAATGCTTCACATAAATCATCCAAAATTACGTGAGCCTATGTGTGAAAAATAGAGGGCAAGAACACAAAAACATTTAAAAGCAAATATGACGCCTTCGAAAAATTATGATTTTGGTAAGATTCGACATTTGAGGTAAAAAACGAGCTTTGATTCCATCGCTCTGGAATTTAAGCCCATTTAGGCGACATTGACGATGAATAAACACCAACCAGAAAAACAATTAGTCTATATTATGAAAAAAAAACATCTAGAAGCACCAAGGTACTTTGCTGAATTAAATCATTGTTTTTCAAAAACAAATATATGATGTTTCTAATATAAATTCTAATCAAAATGAATTCTATTGCGATAAATAACTTAAAGCTTTACAAAAGACGTGAGAATAGGCTGATACATGAGAGGATGAAACTAGCTATATTGTGCTAACTTTTGTCAGTCCGACTACTCTGGGCAGAGTTTGGGTGCCTCCACCGCCGGGAATGATTTTGAAGAAATGAGGTTGATTTCCTTTAGTGAATTGTCTATTGGATGGATAGTGTTTTTTCTGTTGGGTAGTTTTCAGTGTGATCTATTTGAGTGTTCCGTTTGTCATGGAAGCTAACTGATAGTGAATTTAAACTTTTGTGGGGTTGTTGATTATAGTTCTGTTCCAGAGATTGTGATTGCTTTGTTTGAACTGAGTGTGCTATGTGATGACTGATATTTTTGTTTGCAAAAAAATTATAGGTATGGTTCGCAAAATAGTTTCCATTTTTGATTTTTATTCTACCGAAAGAGTGTTTTTTAGTTATTGGTCTGTGTGTCTGATAATCCGTTTGTAAGTATTTAGGTAAAACAGTTGGTTTAATTGTTGGTTGCAATGTTGTTTGTGGGAACGGGATGCTATTCTTATTATGTAAGGTTGTGATTGCTGGGTGAATAGGTGAGATCTTTTATTGTGTTGTTGCTGGTATTGTTATAACTATTTCTTCATGAGTAAAAGGCGATGGGGTTTGAAAATCTCGGTTTAGCGTTGTTGTTGTTCCATTAGGGTTTTCTCGTGTATTCATGAAAGTTGTGTTTATACTAATGATAGCTGTTCTATAGTAAAATATTATATTTTAGTTTGATGGTGTTGTATCAGTTGATAAAGAGGTTACCCTTAAATAAACCTTGTTTAGCGAAATTTTTTGAACAGTTCTGAGCTTAGTTCTATATTATTCTACAATATCATTTGGTATAATAATAATAATCAAATCATGGTACCATTCAGGGTCCCAGAGAGTCTATTTAATCTGCGAAAATCTTCGACGGTGAGTACGAAACTCTTTTCTAGATTGTTCAATATTATTATTTGAGAAACTTCAATATCAGAGAGTTTTTCGCGAATGGCATTTAAAAATTTTGAGAATGTGTTTGTTTTAAAAATAATTGTGGTGGGGATACAAAAATGTTTCATCTGTTCTATAAAGCAGACATAACTATAAATGATTGGAAAAACATGATTTGTAATTATTGAGTCTACTCGTTGTGAGTTTTGATGGTGTAAATTTTTGAAATATTCTTCAAAACTTTTGAGACACTTGAGTTCTATATTGTCTGTTTGTATTCTGTGTGGCGGTGTTTTATCATTTAAATCTGGTGATAGAATTTCATTGGTGAATATACAAATTGTGAGGTGATTTTACACATGATTGGTAGATAATGGTCTAGTATTGGCCTTTTTAATTTAACTTCTGGAAATTGTTGTCGGCAAGGTCTATTGCCTTTTCGAAATAAACTTATAATGAGGTTATTACAAAATTGTGCCACTACGGGTGATGGGTCACTGTTTTTTTTTTATTTGCCCCCGGCCTGCTCAGTGCAGGACCAACCGTGGGGGAGGGGGAGATGTTATCCATTTTGCCGCAGCCGGTCCCACCTTGAGGAGGCGGATGACACTGGGACCCCTCCAGCCGTGACCGAAGCGGGATTCGAACGCATGACCCTCGTGTTAAGAGGGATGTGCCTAACCCACTTGACCACGACTGCTCACATCGGTCACTGTCGGGATGTATGACGAACAGTAGGATAGAGTCATCCTCAAAATTATCGCGAATTGAACCATTTTTCATGTGATATCACTGCTAATGTGACTCCAAGTGTATGTTTGTACTGGTTTTCTGTTATAATTATTTTTTATTCTGTGCTCAATTTTATTGATGACGCTGTTAGTGCTTCTGAATCAGAAAAAAATCAGTGTTCAATTAATTGTTTGTTTTGATTGCTTATTTGATCTTGGAGGTTTTCGAGAAATTTGTATAAATGTAATATCATATTCTGAAATTGCGTTTCGTTTTCTAGAAAAAAAGTTATTTTAAGATTTGTTTTTTTTGTTTGGAAATAATAGTTTTCTTATGATGGTTTTTTCGATCTGATATAGCCTATTTTTTGTTTGCGTGGTGTCATGACAAGATCGTTTCTGGGTCGGGTCTTGAAATAAACAATTGTCTAGAACTACTGTTTGTTTGTTGGCTTAACTATCTTTTGACATAAGTGTTAGAATGTTTGATGCGAAATCCAGGTGTTAACTGCATATTTCCTTTTTTGTTAGTTCTTACTTTTTTTGTGAGGTTATCCTCTAACCTCTGGTGGTTTTTTCGTGGCAAGACAGGTTGGGGAGAGAGTACATGAAAAAGGATGATTCACTGCTTTCAAACGTATGCGGCTTTTTCTACAGTTAAGTAGTCTTAACCTTACTTAAATGGGGTTCGATCTGAGATCGAGTGTTGGAGAGCACTAAATCAATTGACAATGTTCAGGTATAATAAGAACACACATAAATCGCTCGAAAATATTTTAGAGCTTACTATATCTTAGAGTTTTCATAAGCCTGGGTCAAATAAGAGGTGAGGTTCAAATGAAGGATGAATAACCGAAGTTCTTCCTTGCTGAGCTTCAAAGAAATCGTGAGTTTTTGCAAAAAATCTTCAATTAGTCCTGGTTCGTTAAGAAAGTTTGGAGAGTGAATCGACATTTTAGGTCGTTAGACACTTAAACTAAAAGATGACGTTGAATTTCATGAGTTAACAGATCCGAGGGAAGCCTTGATGATCTAGATTTAAGAAAGAATTAAGTTAAAAGGATTTTAGTTATAGATTTTAGACTATAGATCCAAGGAGAAGCCTTGCCGATCTAGTTTTTGATTTGAAAAATAAAATTTAAGTTTTAAAGTGAAGGAGAAACCTTGGTGATTTATTTTAACTAATTAAGAATTATTAAAGGTCCAAGAGAGATCTTGATGCTCTTGATTTTGATCATGTTAGTATTTACATTTATGATTGTTTTAGGCAAAGAAAAACAAGAAACGATGATGATCCTCGAGAAGCAAGGAAGTATCACCTAACTCAAATCAAATAATTTTTATACTATTTTTTTGTATTTTTGTAGTTTTTCATGAATTCATGAATTTTAAATGAAATTTTTCAAAAAATTCAATAAAGACTTCAAGTTTTAAGGTATATCGAGTTTTTTTCGACGTCTTGTTGTTTAAACAGTATTAGTTATTGCAAATTATTCAACATATCGCTTATTAAATCAAATTTACGGCACCATTTAATGCAGTTCATATAATAGTTAAAAAGATTTTAGTGCACATTTAGTCTTCAAACTCTGTCGTCGTCATCGTCGTCTACTTTTTCGCTTTGCGATGCACTTTTTTGTTTTATCGTCTTTTGTTGTGATTCAGTTTGGTCTTCAGTATCAGCTCGGCTTGATTAGACTTATTGGGAACTGGGAAATAAGCTAATTCTATTATCGATTCAATTTGACTTGTTTTTTTTTAACTAAGTTAGTGTTAGATCTGCTCGAGACTGGTTGGTCAAACCACATGAATTTAGGTCCGGGTGGCTTTCTCATAGAGTAATTTCGGATACGGTGCACCATCTGTTCGTCACGCTGTCCGTTTTTCGGCCGGATAGATTCGTGCAACTTCTTAGTCTAATACCAATCCTAATCTTACTCTTATATTTCCTAGTCTCAGTAGATCTTGGATAAACTCGTATTATTGCGAGGTTAGAGGAGAGAAAGAGGCAGTTGATTTCTAATATGTATCATACTTTCTCTGGCTGAAGCTATGAATAGTTTCAGCTTTACAATTTAACATGAGTTTTAGTAATGGATCATGATTGGTTAGTTGTAAATATTTTACAATGATAAATATGAAGGTATAAAATAAATACTTTAAATACTCGTTTTGGACTAGTTCAACTACGCTCGCTAAATTTCGATTGTGTATATTGATAATGATTATTTAATTATCAAGTAGAAAAGCCTAAACTAGTATCAGAAGGGTTCTGGAGAAAAAATAGACCCGTAAAGACCTGAAAGAGAAGGGAACAAGAAAGAAATACCTGAGCATAACACTCCTGTTCTATCTTCATCCCTTGCTCTATGGGGCCTTGGGCTGACTGGTTGATTGCACGCTTGGCCATCCGCAGTGCAACAGGTCCCCTCAGCCCCATCTGCTGAGAGAGGGAAAGTGCAGTGGCATCTACTTGGTCACTGTCAACCACGTAATCCACCAGACCCATCTCCTTAGCCTCCGTTCCAGTTACAATTCGTCCAGTGAATATGAGCTCCTTAGCCTATCAGTGAACAAAAACGAACAAAGCAGTCACCAAACTGTCGTCTGTGAACTGTTGTATTTTTCTTCTGATTCAAACAGGAAGTTAAACTTCTAACGCATAAGCGAAGCAACATCAAGCGAAAAAAGGCCAAAAGGGAGCATATGATGCAGGAAAAAGGAGCATATGTTGCAGCCCAAGGCAACAGACAAAAAGCCTCTTTAAATAAGCCATTTAAAGATAACATGACTGTACCACGAGCCTCTTTGTACCGATAGCTAGTGATATACATAAATACTCACCAATAAAGCGGTTAAAACCCATGCTATTGCACTGTCAATGCGAAAAGGCTATGCAGCAAAATGCCATCAATTATGAGAACTATATTCAGCGAGAAGCGTTCGATAGTGGACTCGTAATTAAATAAGCCTTTGCTGGTGTAAAAGAGCAAGACAATTCAGCACGACATCTCATCAATCACGGACGGCATGTATTGAAATAGGCTCCAAATAAATCATCCAAAATTACGTGAGCCTATGTGTGAAAAATAGAGGGCAAGAACACAAAAACATATAAAAGCAAATATGACGCCTTCGAAAAATTATGATTTTGGTAAGATTCGACATTTGAGGTAAAAAACGAGCTTTGATTCCATCGCTCTGGAATTTGAGCCCATTTAGGCGACATTGACGATGAATAAACACCAACCAGAAAGACAATTAGTCTATATTATGAAAAAAAAAACATCTAGAAGCACCAAGGTACTTTGCTGAATTAAATCATTGATTTTCAAAAACAAATATATGATGTTTCTAATATAAATTCTAATCAAAATGAATTCTATTGCGATCAATAACTTGAAGCTTTACAAAAGACGTGAGAAATGGCTGATAGATGAGAGGATGAAACTAGCTGAATTGTGCTAACTTTAGTCAGTCCGACTACTCTGGGCAGAGTTTGGGTGCCTCCACCGCCGGGAATGATTCCGAGTTTGGTCTCTACCAGCCCAAGTTTAGACTGGATAGATGCCACTCTGAGGTCGCAGCACAGTCCCAATTCCAGACCCCCTCCCAGGGCCACTCCATCTATAGCTGCCAGAGTGGGCACGGGGAAGTGGTAGAGCAGCAAAAGGAGGGCTCTGATTTTGGCAACAAACACGGCCACCGGAAACAACCACACCTGTATAGCTTTACTTAAAATAAACGCAAAGTTAGAGCAACAGACAATCAAAAAACAAGAGATGTCAGCAGAAAGAGCTCTAAAATTCACAAAAACACAAATTTAGCATGTACTAATTTGGGAAGTTAAAATATGAAGGCAACCAAACCATTGAAGCCGAATAAACTTTTTAAACAAAAAATGAAAGAAATTGAAAAAGAAATTCGCTCCTGATCGGAATCGGAACCAGTAACTTTGTGGTTCCAAGCATACTTGTTGTTATTTTTACGCTAAGCGGTCAGCAAAGTCTCCTGAAAATAGCAATGATAGCTATCAAAAATGATGTATTGTCAGAAAATGTATTGCAAATACTTTCATCGCGTATCAAAGAAAATAGAAAAAATAATTGTGACAACTTTTCTAACAATGCAATCACATTCGATCTAGTGGTTTTCTGGAAAAGACTGAAAGCAGCCACTATACCTGTCCGAAACTTTCGCTTCTTTACAAATTCATCTGAAGGTTACACAAACAAAAATTGAAAACTAAAAAAGTTCTGTTGCATCTCTGATTTTTTTTCTTTATCAGCGGAACTGACAATACTCTCAGATTATTTGTTGCAAGAAAACGCAGAAAAACAGGTCGATAGATATTTTTGAATTCTTGCAAAAAAGGTTGATACATGAACGAAGCTGCTTAGATTTGAGGCGAGAAACATAATAAAAAAGAACTATACTGGAAGTTGACGAAAACAACCGAACGGGAATCGAACTATACAAAAACACTTAGGGCAACAAAATTAGGGCATCGAAATATGCCCTAACAGGGTCGAGAAGCCGGAACAAGATAAAGAACTGTACAAAAATAGAACTTTTTTAAAAAACAATATCAGATTGCCATATTGAAAAAAAAAATCACCATAAAGGTCTTCAAATTTCAAAATTATTTTATGACTGATACTTTCTATTTCTTCATTAAACATACCCAGTTTGAGAAAACTGATTCGTTTCTTTACGCTACAAATTGGAAGACACTCACAAACTGGAAGTCATTCGCTTTTTTTGTGCCATTTGCACTTTCATTATTGCATACTGAAACTGAACAGAGTTTAGATACGGGGTGGCCATCTCATAAGAGTAATTTCGGATAAAGTACACCGTCTGTTCATCACGCTATCTTATTTTCGACCGAACAGAATCGTGCAACTTCTTAGTCTAACACCAAACCAAATCTTACTCTTTAATTTCCTAGTCTCAATTATTCTAGAAAAAATATATATTGATATTTTTGCGAGGTTAGAGGAGAGAAGGAAGCAACTGATTACAATCTGTATTATAATTTCTTTGGCTGAAACTATGAATAGTTTTAGCTTTACAATTTAAATAGGTTTTAGTAATGAATCATCACTGGTTATTTATAATTATTTTCGAAGCTACATAATAAATATTTGTTCCAGACTTTATATCCTATCAGGACTGAGACTGCGTCAAGCAAAACCAATAGATTTGCCATTCCATAGTCTGAAAGTCGTCGAAATTTTTAATACCTTTTGCTGCTCGTTTCTTTTGCGCTTTACATTTTATATATCTGCTCTTTAGTGGTTTTCAGTTTTAGTTATGACCCTATTAGTTATTTTCGCAAAAAACTTTCATTGACTTTTTATTTTGAAATTTGCTCACCCTGGAGCCACTTTAAGGAAAAAATAAAATAGTCGGTTCAAAGCACATGATCAAGATGTCCTTCGAACGGCTGGTGGGTTAAGCCAGTTGGGGTATACTTGTGAGTGTCTCTTTGACTGGAGTCTTTTCTTAATGATAACCATTTCTTTCTTTTGTGTCAGGTGTTTTGTCTATTGTTTCTGTGGTTGTCCTCTTCTGAGAAACAGTGTCTTTGATTAGTGTTGAATTGGAATTTGGCATAATAAATTTGGAATAAAATGTTGATTTGAGTTTCAAAAGAAAATTTCATCCAGTTTATTCTGGTTGAAGTAAAGTGGTTATCCTTATTCCAACTGGGTTAAAGGAAACTTTGAAACGCGTGAAAGCTTTTCAAAAAAACTGTTATCAGTTCGTTTGAGAAATTCGAATTCTTTTATTCACTTGAAATGTCATGCGAAATTTGTTCAACAATGAAACAGTGTGCGCGGAAGTGGGCATTTTTAAGGGGCGAGTTCGAGATTTTACAAAACTTAAGAATGAAAAAGGTTAATTTTATCTTTATTTTTTTTTTTCATTTATCAATTCATTACATTGTATGAAAATTTTGATTACATTAGAATAAATACTATTTAACTTCTTAGTTAAAAATTTTAATATACATTTAGAATTTACTGGAGTCGGTTAGCAATTTTTATTGAAAACAAAAAACTGAGTGCACTTAAAGCTTTGCTGACATGTTGATTACGTTTTTACAGCGTAGAAGTGGCAAAAAAAGCTCAAATACCCTAATGATCTTGAGTTCTTTTGGGACAACTGTAAAATCGTGGTGATTATAATATATATAGTTGAATTCGTGCCGTGGATGTTTTCTTATAGTGGGATTTCAACAGGTTTAGTGTATTCACGTGAGATGATGGGGCGGGAGTCTTCACTAGGAAATGTTTTAGTGAGAAGGCAAAATATTTACATCTTTCTGACGGGATGGTAGTTGCGGACGATGCACTGCAGGTTAGTAGTTTTGCTGAAATATGTGATGTTAAAAAATACGGTGACGTGGTTATAAACATGTATCAGTGGTGTGGGTTGCGAGAACGTAATTTTTGTAGAAAGTGCTTTTCGATGAAAGGATAAATTTGTCTGTGGGTTAGTTTCGTTTGCAACATTAGTTAGTGGGAGCAGTCAATATCACGTTCTTGAGGTGTGAGAAAACTTAATGATAGTTGAAAACTTTCGAGGAGACTTAAGTGTATGTATAAATAATCTTTGGTGTTTTTAGTGCAAGCTCGATGACATGATAAAATTTTTTGTTAGTTATGTGCAAATCGATAACAAATCGGTTTTTAAGAATTTTTTTCTGTGAGTTGTGAGTTTACTGCAGGGTCGGTGTCGTATGGTGCAAGTTCCATACAAGGAATGACAGTATGGTCAAAGTGTGCAATGGCGAACTGGCTGGAATTGCTTGCGATGAAACGTCTGAGGACTTGTCTTCAGCCAATGTTGGTAAAATATTTTAGTTAAAGGGTATAAGTGAGCTGGTGAATCGCTGTTATATATCATTCTGATTTCCGAAATGGTTCATTGAGTGAATTAGTGAAGTTATAAACACAGAACCAAGTGATTGTGGTGATAAGTGTGTATTCGTCGACATAAGAATGTCGTAGGCTTGGTAATTTTTGGTTACCGTAACAAAATTGAGAAAATGTGATGTTAATAAGTAAAAGTTCGTACGTATTAGTATGCCTAAGATGATTGCTGCGGAGGAGTCTGAATGTGAAGGGGCTATTGTTAAAGTATCTGGGTGGGTTTTTGGATAATTCCTTATCATTAGTTTACACTGGACACCGTTGGGAGTGTTGCGAATAGATGATAAGGATGTTTTTGAAGGTGAAGCGGAGTATGTTAATTGATATGGGTGAAATGATTGGGATAGCGTCGGTATTTGAACTGGAGTTGAATGAAAGGGTGACTACTGGTATTGAGGGAGTAAAATATGCTTGTGAAGAATTAGTAATGGGGCTTGGTTCGTAGTCGTGATGTTTTCTGCGAGATTTTCTAAATACTCTTGTGTTTTAAAATTTGTTTGGATTGAGTCATCGGAGTGCATGTGTGATGAGTTGAGTGACGAAATGGAAAAAATGGAATAGAATACCGGAAGAAAAAAGGAGAGAAGTTCATTGATGAAAGTGACAGAGGTCTGGTGTTGGAAATTTGAAGGGTACGAAAAGGTACGATTTCGCAGCCCATTGTGGACTAAAACTATTATCGTTAAGTAATCGTGTGTGGTTTTTCTATTATTTATCCATCTGTTTCAATCGAATGGGGCGGTTGATAAGCAATATGAGAGATTTGGATTTGTTGTGGTTAGTTGTTTTGATGAAGTCGTGATTGAAGTGAAAAGTTTGTACTAAAATTAGCATGTGGAATGATTTGCAATTGATTTTGATTGGGTAAACTGTGCGAGTAAAGCGGTGCTAGAGGTGTTATAAGTGTGTTGTTTTGTGGCTCGTCATATGAGTTTGGAATTAATGACATTTTTTTTATTATATTCGTTGATTTCTAGCGGTGCTATAGGTGTTATAAGTGTGTTGTTTTGTGGCTCGTCATATGAGTTTGGAAATAATGACATTTTTTTATTATATTCGTTGATTTATATGGTTGAATTATATTTATTTTATTGAAAAATTATTAAAATTTTTGTCTTCTGATGTGATATTGAATATCGGATTTTGAATCAATTCTTATTGATTGTAAATCAATGTTGGAATTTCTGGCTATTGTGCGTATGCCTTCTGGAGAAAATTTCTTTAGTGGTTGCTTCAGTATAGGGTATGATTTGAAGACATCAAATTTGAAGGATGATTTTTGTATTTTGTGTTCTTATAGCTTTTGTTTGTTCTGACGTATTTGAGTTTTCGGAAGAGTTTTTATTGTTGATAACTGGTGATGATTCAACAATATGGAGTTCAGTGAATGAATATAACTGGGTTACTTCTCGAAGAGCTCACTCTTTTAGATGATATGGCAAGAGGTTATTTATGTTGTGTAATTTCAGTTGGTTTATCAAAAATTTGATAAGATTTTTTACGTAGTGGTTGTCATTTTTTTGGAAAATCTTTTAAGCATTGTGAAACTTGGAAAGATTTTTTACGTAGTGGTTGTCATTTTTTTGAAAAATCTTTTAAGCATTGTGAAACTTGGAAATAGAACGAATGTGAAGCTAGTGTAAACCGTGAATTTATGTAGGGCTGAAAAAATTGTTCTCTTAAAATTTCGTTGCTACTTTCAGCTATATTTCGTCAAGTTTTTTTTATCTCTATGAAAGATCCATTCCTTATTAGTACCGGAAGCTACGTTGGCGATGGA